ACCCTCCTCAGAAGTAGATCGTCTCGACCTTCTGTTGTTTCTTGCTTTCTCCATTTTTGATAAATCAAATTACTGTACTGAGCCGAGGCATATATACCTCGGCTCTTCATCAAACTTAGAATTCAATGAAATGAGGTTGTTTGGTTTAGATCCGAGTTATTCTTTCCGAGGTCCATATGCTTAGAGAAATTTAATTAAACTTTAATTTTAGTTTTGGCCTCGTTGTTTGAGTTTCTCAAGCCTTCATAATTTCTTACCTACACAATGGCTTACGAGCCGATCAATTCAGCTCGGCGGTGTGTATTTGGGATAACCAGGTTCCTACGGGTTGACCATTGCTTCACATGTTTGTAAAAATACAACTTATCATAGGTCGTTTAGCATAGGTCATACCACGTAGTCTTCCTCGGCCCCCATTTGACGTAGCTCGGTAGTAGTAACAATTCGAGTGCTCCGACATACTGCATTACCTTCTTGAGGACAAGGTTGCCAGGCTTGAACGTTCTGACCTTTACCCTGGCGTTGTAGTACCGAGCCATACGGTTCTGATATTCTACTAGCCGAAGTTGGGAGTGAGATCTTTTCTCCTCGAGGAGGTCAAGGTTCACGAGTAAAGCTTCACTGTTGGTCTGCTCGTAGAAGTTCTCAACTYGGGGCGTTGGCATACCAACTTCCGCAGGGACAACAGCCTCCGACCCGAAGGCTACGTCGTATGACGTCTCACCAGTAGATCGGCGGGGTGTAGTTCGGTAAGACCACAATACCTCTGGTAGCTCTTCTGCCCACCGACCTTTCAGAGATTCCAGCCTCGTCTTCAGACCACGGTTGATGATCTTGTTGATGGCTTCAACTTGTTCGTTAGACTGCGGATGGGCAGGCGACGAGTTGAGGTGTCGTACGCCGAGCTGTTGGCAGAATTGATTAAACCGGGCACCGTCAAACTGCTTTCCATTGTCGGTAATGATGGCGTTAGGTATTTCGAACCGACATATTATGCTCTTCCATACAAAGCTGACAACCTTCGCCTCGGTAATAGACGCCAGAGGTTCCGCTTCCACCCATTTGGTGAA